CAAAAACCTGAAGTTTCTTTAGACTCCTCCTTTTCTAAGTTTGTCATGAGGAAACAGTCACATAGATGGAACCTGCCCTTCAGAGGTTGCTGCGAGGATCAAAGGAGGGGTGTCTGTGAAAGTGCTCAATACTGAAGGGCAGTAATGAATTGGCTATGATTTGGCCATTACGAACATGCAGCCTCTGCTTGCATACCTCCGGGAACAGGGGGCTCACTCCTTTATGTGGCAACTTACTCTAGGGGAGCTGACGTCTGCTCTCTGCTCCTTGCCTCTCCCTCCATTCTCCTGATCCCAGCTGCTGTACCTCCTCTGAGGCTGCTTTGCCCTGGGGGTCAGATCTTCCTTAGTAGTCAGTCTGGCTTTCACTGTTTGTGCCTGGGCCATCCTTGGTAGTGGATACCCTGTCTTAGCATCAGAGGAAATGAGCTCCATGGTGGGCAGGGTCCCAGCAAGTTACCTACTTTGCCCAAGTAGAGAAGCTGAGCCCTGAACCTGCCTGGCTCTAGACTCTGCATGCCCAGTGGCTCAGCCACACTTGCCAAAGTGGGGGCATGTCTCAAGGAGCAGCCCAGGACCCCTAGAAGGAGTCGGGAGGGGACATGGGAGCATGCTGCCCTCATTCTGTTCTCCTCTGGCTGAGAAGGCAGCCACACTCTGAGCTGAGATCCAAGAAGGCAGATCTCATCAGTGTCAGGAGGGATTTCTCTCTGCAGAGACTGTCCTTGCACAAGGGGAGAGGCTGGGAGTCCCCTTGGGGGAAGTGCAGCAGTGTTTTTTTCATTCATTCACCTACTGTTTACGGCGCTGGGCACTTAGAACACACTGACACTTCGGACAGAGTTTCCACCCTAGGGATTTCCCGTCTGGGGGCTGAAGATCACCCCACTGGAACATGAAAGGTAGGATTCGCCAGGCAGGGCTTCAGTTTTCTCTCATCCCAGCTAAGAGTCTAGGCACCTCAAACTGAGGGTCCTGACACAGACTGAGGTACCCAGCCCCTAGAAGTTGACATGTCACCCTCTTTTTCACACTCACACACACCTACACACACACCCTCAGACTTGTAGACACCACACAGCCAGGGCAGTGCTGCTGCCTAAGTCCCCAGTTGTACCTGGCACTTACCTGGCCATGACCTCTCCCGGGCACTCTGCGGCTGCTGCTCCTGCACTGACCACTGCGGTTTGTCCTGCCGCCTGCACCCCTGGCAGCCTGGGCGCAATGTCCCGGCCACTCTGCCTGGACTCCCGCTCAGGCTCAGCTGCAGGAGGACAAAGGGGATGGACGCTGGTGGGGGGGGGGAGTGGGTGGGGAGGGGAGAGCTAAGGGGGAAGGGGAGGAGGGGATACTGGGCTTTTGTTCTGCTCTTGGACCAGCCCTGGGAGGCAGAGAAGGGAGGAGCCGGGAGTAGGTGTAGGATCGACTGTGCAACTCTGGGATCCATGTGCCCAGACTGGGGGTGATCTGGCGCTGGCTGTGTCCCTGAGTGATACACGGATGTGAGGGGGTGTGTGTGCGTGCAGGTGTTCCAGGGTACTTGTATGTGTGTGTGGGAGTGCATGGGGATGTGGTGACCGTGTGGCATTGGGGCAGATGTGACTAAGAATGTCACTGCACAGCTTAGAGGTCGAGGTTTTCCTCCTGCCTCTGTGACTGCGCAGTGTCTGTGTTCCAGCCTTACAGCAGACGTGTCCTTGTGGGGCTTCATACGCATTGCATATCCCTGTCTTTGCATCTCTGTGTGATTGTTCATCTCTGTGACAGGGGTCTGTCTGCATACAACAGGGGGCTGTGTCTCGTGGACTGTGTGTGTGGACAGCGTGTGGTCCCTGGGTCTGTGGTATGGCATGAGCTGAGATGGCTTTCACTCAACAGTGTACCCGCCTTTGGAGTCCAGTGAGGCAGGCATGGTGGGTGTGGGGGAGAGAACAAGGCAGCTCTGGGCTGGCCTGGCATCCTGGAGCCAGAGAGAGGGGGTGCCATGGGTTGGTGTCTGATCATTTGCTGCCTCTATGAAGGGATATTGGGCTGGGTGTCTTTGGGGCAGGTGAGAGGGTTTTGCCTTCATGGAAGAGGGCAGCAGACTCGGGGGAGGTTGCCTTGACAAGAACCTGGATGGGCCAGGACACCTGGGACCTGGCCCTGGCTCTGCTGGGATTCTACGTGCAGCTCCAGGCAGATTACTGCCCAACGCTTAGCCTCGGCTCTTCATTTCAGCAGGATTGGTAGTCTAGTTGTGGTTCCTGCTTTGTCTTACCAGGGTGCTGTGAAATCAAGAGGGGTTTGTGAAAGCCATGTGCCCTGTGGAGTGGAGTGGGTAAACCTGGGATCCTGTTGGAACCCACCCCAGCAAGGCTCAGGCCGGCTGAGTTAAGTGGAAGGAATTGTAATGGGAGGGGTCAATGGCCAAGCATGTGTCCTGAGGCCTGGGGGAGTCTGTTCCAGGGACTCTGCTCCAGGGAATGGTGTATCCTGCTTCCCCCTAAGAAAAGATTGTACGTTTTGCTCTATGTTAAAGGATGTGAGAGATTCGGGCACCATTACACTGGGGACAGAGGGTCTAGAGAGGGCCCTGGAGAGGGGGAGGGTAGGCTCAGCCTGGACAGGCCTCACTCAGTAAGGTCCAAGGTAGCAAGAGAGGAGTGGGTCTGTGGAAATGGCTGGGAGAGAGGGGCCCTGTCTCCTGTTTGCCTGTGAAGGGCAGTCAGGCTGTCCTCCATAGACAGGGGGAGGTTCTGAGGAGGGCACTGGGAAGGTGGGCTTCTCAGTAACCCCCCAGGTCAGGGGACAGGAGCCAGGGTTGAGCACAGGCTGTGGGCTCAGCTGAGGGTGGAGAAGGGCCCAGCCTCCCGCCTAGCGGGGCGACGGCCTCTATCTTCCCGTTGTTTGGGGTGAGGGGAGGCAGCTGGACTGCCTCTGCATTGGGGGATGCAGGGGTCCAGTGTAGGGCCCTGGTGAGAGTGGGGTGCTGACTGGCTGTTCCACTCAGCACTCCCAGGCCCTTCTCCCTGCTCCTGAAGGCTCTAGGTTGACTCAAGTTGCCCAAGTGTGGCCAGGAGCCTGGAACATTGCTGCCCAGTGGACCGAGGGGCACTGACTGGACAGTGGGAAAGGGACAGTGAGGGGCTGGCGGGAAAGATTGATTCCACTCTCCTGGGCAGGCCTGCCAGACACTGGAGAGGAGGTTATTGGGGCGTTTGGGTAGGGCAGTGTGCCCCACTGCTGACCCAGATGGTCCAGGTTTCACTCATACTTCCTCATGCCCAGGGGAAGCTGGAGCTGACCTCTGCCCCAGGAAGGGAGCACTTGGCAGATGTTTGAAAAGGGGAAAGGAGGGAGAGTCCCTGGACAGTTTCCAGAGGGACAGTCCTAGAGGTTAGTGTGGGGGCCCAGTTTGGTTTCCAGTGTTGGGAGGGATTTCTTTTCTTTTTCTGAATGAAACGTCCAGACCCCAAGGATTCTACTCAGAAGGCCCCCATTTGGAGAAGAGACACACCCCTTGGTTCCCACGAAGCACCATATTTATTTAATGCAGGCTGGAACTGGGGTTCAGCCTCCCCCTTCCCCCTTAGGACACACCCAAGACCATGCAGACTCTTAGGACAAATATGGGAGTTACAGACATCTTCCCAGGGAGGGCAGAGAGCAGGGGTCCAAGGACTGAAAGACAAGGATGTCTGTGGTCCCAGGGGCATATTGTGGCTTTCAGCCCAGGTGTTCCCCACCCCCCCAACCCCGTGCCAGGAATGGGAGTGGGCCTCTTCAGTCAAAGCCAGACCTCTGCCATCGGGGAGAGGCATCTCCTGACTAAGGGCCTGTTCCTCCATAGGCCAGGAGCTCAGAAACCCTTCATGTGACTGCTCGTCCCACTGCCCAGTCCTACAGTGGGCCCAGGAGCCCGCCCCATCTGCCTTACCATTCCCAGCTGGTTGCGGAAGGCCCACAGCCAGGCTGGGGTTCTGGCTCTGCTGTGCCAAGCTGTGTGGCCATGGAGGGTCACTTTACCTCTCCAGGACTGTCTCCCCCACCACAGGATGCGGACACTGGCCCCCCAAGCCCAGGACTCCTAAGGAAGCCCTAGTGCCATGTGAGGCGGGGAAGGGGCCCACCACTCTGCCACTCTCCCATTCACTTCCGAGAATGGGCCTTCCTCAGTCATGGGACCTGAATCCCAAACCCTGCAGGCTCTGTCCCCACCCTCCCACCGATAATTCAGAGATGAGACGTGTCAAGATGGCAGCTTTAATCATCCTGGCCAAGGCCCCTCAGGCTCCCTCCACTGCAGGCCTCCTTGGCCATACGCCCATCAACCATGCCTGAACACTTGTCCCCGGTGGCCCCTGCTCTTGGCCACTGACGTGGGAACCTGAGGTCATGTCAGTCTGTGGATCTCCTGGGTGTGGATCCAGCAGCCCTGAGCCTGCTCTTGCCATCTCCAGCGGCTCCTGGGGGACATGGCCCTCATCAGCGGGAGGCTGGATGGGGAGGACTAGTGTCCCCACCACTGGAGCAGGCATTCCTCCTGGGCCGAGCTTCCTTGTGCTTTGAGACTGACGGAAGAGCGGAGGTGCTGGGGCAGAGGCCCAGCCCAGCCCCTTGAGGCAGGAGAATCACCGAGAAGGCGGTTTCCTCACAGCACAGACAGAACAGACACACATGGGCACACGCAGGCTCCACATCCTCTGCTGCTGCACGGGGCATGGCACAGCCCAGCGACCCCTCAAAGCTTCCAGGTGAGGATGCAAAGGAGGGCCTCAGGGAGTGGACCGGGCCCCCGGGCCCCGGACCTTAGGCCCCAAACTTCCCAGAAAAAGGAGCCCCAGGCCTGCAGGGGCATCTGAGAGGCTAGAGGGGCGCCCCTCCAAGAGAGGCCATGGCTGACCAGGGACCGGAGCCAGTGAGGAGGCTGTGGAGTTAGCGCCCCAAGCATGCTTCTGCCAGGTCTGTGGGCTTCTCTGGTCTCCACACGAGGTACAGCTGGACAGACGGGTCTTCAGCTAACGCCCACTCCGGTCTGTGAGGGTCTTGGCACGGCTGCCGCTCCCTCGAGGGGCCACCGGGGCCGTGGCGCTGTTGGCATATGTGTCATAACTGTTGTCCGAACATACGGAGAGCTCATCGGAGACCTCCATGCCATCACTGATCTCTGTTGGGCCACAGGGAGGCAAGAGGTGAGTGCAGGGAGGAGGGGGTGGGGCAGATAAGGAGGGCTGGCAGACGCGGGGGTGGGGGTGGGGGTGGGGGGAAGGCGTGGCCTGCAGCAACTCCCGAGCAGGCACTTGGAGGCTGATGCAACCTCAGGTTTCAGGTGTGGTATTGGTGTGTGAGTCTGGCATCCAAGGCCCTTCTGAGGCTCTGCAAACACTCTGGTTGCGCCTCAGTCTCCTCTCCCCTGGAACTCCACCCTCAAGCCACAGAAAACTATCTGTGCACCCTCCCGAGTGTGGCACCCGTGTGTTACTCTCCTTGGGGCTTTGCACATATTGGCCTGTCTCCTGGGCACGACCTCCCAGCATCACCTCCTTTTCTTAAAATCTGGCTCAATTCTTCTCATTTCTGTTACTGCCCCCAGGCTGGGATGGGGCCTCCTCTCATGGCCACCCTGCTCCCTGCCGCACCCCCTGCTCCGTCAACTGTGCTGTCACCGTCTGTGCCCCTTCACCTGGAGCACTCCAAGGACAGGGATGAGGTCTGGGCACTAGTGTCCCCAGCCGGGTGCAGTGCTGGGGACACAGCAGAGCCTCAGAGAAGGCCTGCTGAGGGGAGCTAAGCCTGCCCAAGGGGACTCCACGTGCCTGGGTGGGGCTGACAGTCCCTAGAGAGGACTTCTCAACCAGGAATGGGCAGAGGGTAAGACCTGCGGCTGATTCCTCAGGGCCAGCGCCCAAACGGTGCTCAGTGAATGGCCCGTGGCACTGCAGGAGAGGCGCGGGGTGGGGTGCAGAATCTGCCAGGCCTAAGTGCCGGCCTTCTGCCTTCCATTCATTCTACCCACCCCTTCTGGCTTCTCTGAGCCAGGTACAGCGCAGGAGCCCGAGGATCCCAGATATCCTGTGCTGGCTCCTCCCCCCAGGAGCTCCTCAGTGTTGCCAGAGAGCTGTGGGACACTGGGGTAGGCTTCGGTGCTCAGCGAAGGCTCCCAGGAGGAGGGCTGAGTGAGGGGAGGTGGAGTCAAGTACCCCAAAGGCAAGAATCTGTATATCCTAAGCACCTTGAGCAGTGCCTGCCATGCCTTGAAAGAAGGATAAATAAAGGAGTGGCTGACTGAATGGATGTTTACACAGTCGTTAGAGCCAACCCCCCGCCCCCAAACCACAACCACCCCCTCTTGGTCCAGGTTCATTCAAGCACCCCTCTGGGCCAGGCATGGCACTAACCCTCACAAGTAAACTGTGAGGGCAACCTAGACCATTTTACAGATGAGATGTCTGATGCTGAGGTAGGTTAGGTAACATATTCTTGTTCACACAGCTAGGGGGATAAGCTGGGGTTTGAATCCAGGGCCATCTGGCTTCTAAATACCTCTCGGATCTCTCCTCTCCTCTCCCATTTCCATGCCCATGATTCCCATCTGAATTATTGGTTTCCTTGCCTTCAGCTTCCTATTCTAACCCACCACCCTCCACACTTGTTAGGGATTGAATTGTGGGGACTTCCCTGGCAGTCCAGTGGTTAGGTCTCCATGCTTCCACTGCAGAGGGGCATGGGTTCAATCTCTGGTTAGGGAACTAAGATCCCATAAGCTGTGTGGTGTGCCCCCCACCCCCCCAAAAAAGAGGTTGAATTGTGTTCCCCTCAAATTCCTATATTCCTACACCCCGCATGTGACCCTCTTCAGAAATAGGGTCACAGCAGATGCAATTAGTTAAGGTGAGGTTGTTAGAGCAGATTGGTGTCCTTGCAAAGAAGACAGCTTCAAACACAGAGATGCACCCGCGAGGCAAGGGGAGAGGCCAGGACCAGATCTTTCCCTCACAGCCTTGTTGACACCTTGATCGTGGACTCAGCATTCCGAACTGTGAGACGATGCATCTCTGTTTCTAAGCCACCGAGTGCGTGGTACTTTGTTACAGCCCTACTGTAACAAAGGCAAACCTACCTGTGATCCTCCTCTGCTTCCAGAACAAAGCCCAAGCTCCTGACCACACACTCAGGCCCAAGTGCCTCCCCAGTGCCTCCTTGGGGTGAATCAGCCAGAGGCCCTCCAAGCTGTGTGGAATGACCTTGAGCTCTTGGTGCCCAGCAAGTAGTCCTTCTTTGCTGCCTCTGAACACATGCTGTTCCTGCCTGGAGTGCCCTTCCTTCCCTCTGCTTGCCCAGCGCTCACCTCAAACCCATCACCCAGGCCCCTCCTACCATCCCTTTCCATTTCAACGACATCACTCCTCACAAAAGTGGGCCTGAAACCTTCCTCAGTGCCCCAGGGAGTGCTGAACCCCTCTCCTCCTTGCATCCCCATCTGTTACATCTAATTCTCCTTGTATTTGTTTGTACAGCTGCTTCCTCCTTCAGTCTGGGAATGTCAACAGGCAGCAAGCCGGGTGGGGGCGGCGGAAATCAACATTTGTGGGATCCCTGTATGAACCAGGCATATGGTAGGATGGACCTTCAAAGCAGACTCCTCCCCCAACCCTTGCATGTCACCCTAGCCCACCACCCCCCGGGGCTGACACTGAGCCACAGGACCTGGAGCTGATGGCTGCAGGTGGAGGGGTGTGTGTTTGTAGGTGTACGTGTGCTTCCGTACCACTGTGACATAAAGCCAGATGGGTATACATATGTCTGTGCCATGTGCCTATCTGCATGCTGCATGTGAAATATGTGTACACACACCCGTGTGCACCTGTGGGGTGCAGAGAACAGAGCCCAGAGCCCGTCCCAACCTGTGTGTGGAGTTGCACACCTGAGAAGATGAGCTTCTCCTTCATGATGCTGACGTCCCGGCTGGTCCGGCGCACTGCAGCACTCAGCATGATCTGCTCGGGGTTGTAGCTCCGGATGCCACCCAGGCGCCACCTGCAGAGACGGCCCCGTGGGCATCAGGTCCTTCCCCACCCTTCCTTGGAGCAGGGATCATGCCCACTTCCACAGACTCTCTGGAACTGGCCTGAGAGGCCAGCAGGAATCTTGTCTGACTGCACAGATGGGGAAACTGAAGCCCAGAGAAGGGCAGAGCTGGGGCCCTGATCAGAGTCCACTGACTCTCAGCCAGGGCTCTCCAGCTCTCTTTCCAGAACCCTACACATCTGCTCCCCTTGCCCAGGAGGATGCTTAGGGGTTGGTTAGTTATGTCTCAGGTGCCCCCAGTTATACACCTGGCTGTGTTTGGATAGGACAAATTTGGGGGTGCAGGCTTAATAGGCATGACCTGCCCTGGGGTACAAACCAATCCTAGGGAGTCCCAGCTGATGTCACCTATAGCTCCACCATAAGGACCAGGCTGAGCAAAGCCAGTGGGGAACCCCAGAGAGGAAGTGAAGGAAAGGAGGGAGGAGAGGGGAGATAGCGGGGATCTTGTCTTCACGGGGGGAACAAGGCATGGGTGCTGGAGTGACTTGGGGTGGGGCCTGCTGCTGCTCGTTCCTACAGCCCTGGAAGAGTGGGGTGCATATCCCCTAATGGGAAGGGGCAGGCTGGAGTGTTACCCCTCTAATGGCTGGGGCAAGGTGGGGGCAAAATTAATCGAATGGGTTGAGGTGGGGCTGCATGGGGTGTGCAGGGACCAGGTGGAGCCAGGAGAACTCAGGTTCTTTGGTCCGGCCCAGAGCACAGTTTTTCTTGTTACAGTTCCTCTGAACTAGCCCCAAATCCCTGGCCTCCGAACAGAGATTTTTCCTGCAATCTAAGAGAGGACGACTCACTGGACCCCCACCCCCACTCAGGGAAGTGGGGATCAGCTTGGAAACAAAACCCAACTCCCCTGGGGCCCTAAGCCCTGCTGGAGTGGGTGGACGGAGCTCAGACTCCACGAGAAATCAATTGTTTCCAGATGGGCTCAGCACAGCCAAAATGGACAGACAGATAGACAGGCAGACAGGTGGATGAACAGAGCAGACAGACAAGGGGAAAGCAGGAGGCAGAAGGGAAGGCAGCCTGTGCCCCGGCTGGGCTGGCCACCCTACACGTGCTCAAGAACAGCAGCAGGGTCTCATTTATCACTGCGTGCCTGGCACCAACCCCCATGCCTGCTGTGTGGTGGGTGCTATAAGGACTGTTGAGTGAATGAAGGGGAAAATGAGGCCCATGGGGAAATGATCTCCCCCAGGGTCCTCTCCTCCATCAGGCCTCGCCTGACCCCCAGGAAGACAATCATGTCGCCCTGATGGTATCTTGAGAGGCCCAGCATGCCCACGGAGCACCCTGGGGCTCTGGGTGGAAGGTCCAACTCCTTGCCACAGGCGCAGCACAGCACCAGCCAGCACGGGTGGGCATCTGCTGACGAGGGGATGGTGGAAATCCCAGGTAAACGGCCCTTCTCTGGGCTTAGTCCCACAGTTAGGGAGCCCAGGGCTCCTCCTCCTGGAAGCTGGTCAGTGAAAGTGCCTGACCTAGGAGGCACCTGACCAAAGGGGACTTCTCATCCTGAAAATCAACAGTAAACGCAGGAGGGAAGTGTCAGGCCCGGGTCTCTGCAGCGAGGTACATCTAGGACAGGAAGCTCAACCACTGGGGGTTCCTCCCAGGGGAAAGCAGGGGAGATGGTGCATATGGGGGAGAGGGGTAGGGTCAGAGTCAGAGACAAAGTAAAAGAGGTAGGAGAGACAGAAAGACAAACAGAGTGAGCGATGGGAAAGGCAGACTGGGAGAGGGGAGGGCAGCAGGTGGGCAGGGAGAGACAGAACTTGGTAGGCTGTGCTCCGGGCGTTGGGAAGGCCTCGCCCAAAGTGCCAGGCTGTGGCGGGAGGTGCGGGGGGAGGTTTTGCCCAGGCAGAACCCCCTCCACAGAGGGAGACATTTTGGTGCTGAGAGAGGCCAGGTCAGCATCCTGCAAGGAAATGTCTGCGGGAGGAAGAGAGAGCAGAGGGACACACACGAAGATGGGGAGAGAGCAGGAGGACTGCAGGGGAGAGGAGGGGAGTGAGGAAAGGGAGGAGGCTTCAGGCAGGGCCGGGGCCTGGGAGGGGGACCTGGGCCTAGGGCTCCGTGAGAGGCAGGCTTTCAGACGGAAGTGGAGAAGGAGGGTGGTGAGGAAGAGGGAGAAAGAGGAACAGGAGGAGGAGGACCACACCAGAATTACCTGATCAAGTGATAGCTGTGAGATGCCAAGAGTGCAGCAGAGAGAGGGGAGAGGGGAGAGAGGAGGGACATGCGCCGGATCAGAGCAGTATGGGGCAGAGAGAGAACGTCAGTCAAGAGTAAAACCCCAGCCCCTGCTCACGGCCCTAAAACCCCCCCGGGACCAACCCACTCCCACTGCGAGCACCACCCCAGCTGTCGTCCTGAAGGGTGGGTGGGGAGCTGGCACGAGGGCTGTGGGATCTGGGGCCCTGGGTCACACGGCAGGGGGAGAGCAGCCCAGAGAGGAGCGGAAACTCACTGAAGAGTTTACACAGCAAGTCTCCACCCAGCCTGTCTCTGGGCTCCCTGCTGGGTGCTCATTCCAGAAGCCACTGGGCTCTGGCTGAGGGGCACGGGCTGGGGGCCACTGGAAGGCCTCCTTCTCCCCTGAACAGGGCGGTCTGGTCAGGACGTCTCCCGGCCAAGGGCTCAGGAGGACGTTCTCCCGGCTGGGGCGGGGACTGGCCTGTCTTGGGCAGGGAAGACCATGGAAGGCGGTCAGGGCCTACTCACTTCTGGAGTACGAAGATGCCAACGATGAGGGTGAAGGAGATCAGGTCGGCGGTGACCCACATGAGACAGTACTCGTCCGGGGGCTGTGGACAGACGGCCCGTGGCCAGCTTCCAGTCATGGTTGGTCCAGACCAGGGCTCCTGACCAAGGGGCCCATGGGCAGGGGGACCACGTGTCACCCTCAGAGAGGGGCAGAGGAGAACCTGGAGGGGGCTTGGGGTCTTGAGATGATATTTTGTAGGCCTGGGGTTTGGGGGCTGTGTGTGTGTGGGTGTGTAGGATAAAAGAGCCATGCAGTAGTCAGAGTAGAGGTGGTGGTGTGTGCTAAACCTAGAGGATTTATGCACTTCAAGGAGCTTAACGCAAGAGTCAATATATGAAAAACAAATAGATGAGAGGGTGTGACGTGATGAGCAGGTGCACCGGTGAGTGTGAAGACAAATGTGGCATCCATGGGGACAGGAGGGTACATGTCATTGTAGGGTGTGAAGTGTGGGAGCTTCCCCACCAGGGGGCCAGAGAGGTGCCTAGGAGGGCAAAGCCTGCAGAGCGGCTAGGCCCAATACCCCTGTGATCTCAGGTGAACTATGGAGGAGGGGCAGGGACCAGCCAGATGCACTTTCTGCTGTTGGTCAGCTCCTATGGCCTGAAAATTAGTGTGCTTGTAGCTGCTGCTGCCACCATCAGTTATTTCATCTCATTCCGAGCTGAGCCTTTGGAGATTTTCAAGGACAATGGGTGGGTGGATAGAGATAATCACCCAAAACCTAGATGATTCATTGACACTGGCAATGTCTTAGCCATAATGAGACCCTCCATCTGCCTTTCATGACTTCAGGGAAGTGGCAGTGGGAGCTAGTGGATGGAGATCAAGGGTTCCCCAAGACCCCTGGTTGGCAGAGCTGGGACTAGCACTTGGGCCAGTCTTCAGATGCTCGACCAATTGAAATCTGGTTTCATTGGCTATAATCTCTGAGCAGATTTCAGTGTTTCCTATTCTTGCCCTTATGTTGCCCTCTTTTCTCAGTTACTTTCCTTCCTTTAAAACAAAATGTAATAATCCTTAAAACCAAAAGAAAACTCAAATAGTTGTTTATTTCTCTAGGGCTCTTGGTGTTTTTCCCATTTGGCTCAGGCCCAGGTTCCTCCCACCTCCCAGTATCTCCTGACCTTAGGTCAGAAGAATCTTCCTCATGTCCCCCAAAGTGTTCCCTCTACCCCTAACACCTCACCAGAGACAGCCTCAGGTGTGGAGCCTGCTCCCCACTCCTAGGAGTCACAGGCAGCTCTCGGACCCCCAATAATCCTCCAACTCACCATGATCCAGAGTGGGGAAGGCACCTGGGACAAGGTGTGGGAGTTGTCGGAGGTGACGGACGGGACCCCCGCGCACCACAGCAGGGAGAAGAGCCACGGGGCATTGACCGTGTAGAGGTTCACACTCAGGTTCCAGGACGCATAGTCCCTGTGGGGCAGCGACAGAGGCCGGTCAGCCCTCGGGCCCCTGCGGGAAGCCTGTAAAGCATGGTCCTTCACACCCTCATACCATGCTCACAACTGATGGAAGGAACCTCTGCTGCCAGAGGGCCAAGCTCACACACAAGCCCAGGTCTGCCCGACGCTCTCCACCTCTCCTCTCTGAGCCCGGAGCCCGCGTGTCCAGTCCTCTGGGTGAGCCTGGGCGGGTGGGGTAGGCACCTGAGCTCCTGGCGGGACACCTGGGTGTAGCGCAGGTTCAGCCGCTGGATGTGGCTTCTCCTCAGGCTGGCGGCCGCCTCCTTGGAGCCTGATGTCTGCTGGAAGCCGGGAGCCACCTTCCGCACAAAGGGCCTCTGCCTGTTGGGCAGCCACAGGACCTGCAGGCGGGAGAGAGGCAGCCTCTGATTTCTCTTCTGTAAATTGAGTATGTTCTGGGAGTTGGTGATGGACAGGGAAGCCTGACGTGCTGCAGTCCATGGGGTCGCAAAGAGTCAGACATGACTAAGCGACTGAACTGAACTGAAAATGGGGAAGGGTGTCTGTCCCTCCTGGAGCACCTGGAGGGGTTAAAAGAGGCGGGACCTGGCACACAGTGAAAGCCTACAGGTAATAAGGTGGTCCTCTGGACCATCTCCAGAGGACGTGGTCCCAGCCAAGGCTAGGAACTGCTCCAGTGACACCTCAGGGAGTTTTCCTTCCAGATCCTAGTCAGGGCAAGATCGATAAACCCCCCCAAAGTTCACTACTCTACACATGGACACCAGCGTCTACTGTGCTGCCATAGTTGGTATCAGATTCTTTTGATCCCCGGGTATTACACCCCGAGGATGTGGGCAGCAGTTCACAGGAGTACAGTGTCCCCAAGAACCTGGCCCTGCTCCTGCCCTTTGTATATTTTAAAGGACCTCTTTGTTTCCCTCTTGTCCCCACAGTGACCTTGTCAGGGAGGTGTGGGGCATGCTACCCTCATTTTACTAATGTAGAAACTTGAGGTCTGGAGAGGAGTGATACGGTGAGTTTCTTGCTGGAACTAGACTCCAGACCGGCCTGGTCTCCCTGGGGCCGGAACCGGACTCTGCGGACCTCCCAGGGGGCGGAGCACTGGGTTGGGAGGAGCTCCCTAGGGGCAGAGCATCGGGTGGGGAGGAGCCCCCTAGGGGAGGAGCTGGGTGGGACTCAGCTTCAGGGCCTCACCTGGTGCTGGGGGAAGCCTGAGCGCAGAAGGGCCTCCAGGGTGATGTTGAGGAAGCTGGTGCGGTAGGGGTGCTCCCGCGGCGGGTCACGCAGGTTGAGCAGCAGCGTGGCATTGCCCTTGGCCAGTTCCAAGAGCTCCATTAGGCTGCAGATGGACTGGTTTTGGGCCTCCCTGTGGTCGGAGGGTGACAGGGAGCTGGCTGTCCAGAACGGGTCCGTCTATCAGAGATAGGGACACACATGGTGGCCTCACCAGTCCTATGGGGCCTCCACTTGCCTTCCTGGCTATGGAACTTGGAGACCCCTGAGCTGCCAGTATCTGCTGGTGTGTGCAAGTCAGGCAAACTGAAGGTTGCGGCCCCGTGGAGACTACTCTAGATTAACCCAACCTTAACCTCTCTATCCCAGTCTGCTTACCAAAAGAATGATTTGCTTGGAACATTTCCCAGACCCCAGTACGTTTCTCCTTTAGTAGCATTTCACATCAGAGTTCACTGACTTTGTCTAGAGTTTTACAGTGTTAACAATTTTAACTGTTAGTATCACCATCAACGTTCTCTGGTAGGGGAGGCAGAACCAGAACAAGCAGTGACAGCCACGATATCTGGGCCGCAGTGGCAGGAGCCAAGGAAGCCGTCAACCAGCCTGGCTGTGAGTCAAGGAAGCTGGGCGTGTGAGGATCGCCCGAGCAGCGGGCGGCCCCCGGTCCTCTCTGTGGAGTCCCACCCATGCTTTCCATGCCTAGGGCTGCGACAGGTGCTGCCAGACCTTCAGGAACCACTGGCCGGCGTTGAGCCTCTGCAGGATGGTCCAGTTGAGCATGGAGGCAGGCCTGCGGGCGAGCTCCGGGAACTCCTCCTCCACGTTGGTGGTGCGCCGAAGGGTGGCGTCGTGCATGAGGAAAGGCACCCCGTCCAGGCTGCGGGAGGATGGGACCGCAGAATCACTACCCACCTGGGTCCCTCACCTGCTTCTCCCACTCTCTCCTGCCCACCCACTTACACCAGCCTACCAAGGGGCTCAGGAAGGCTCTGCCCCTCTTTGGCCTCAGGTTTCCTGACTGCACAGGGAAGTCAGTGGACTGGTAGGCGAATCCCTCTGGCTCTGTGGGTCAGACAGGGGGTGGGGATGGCTGAGGAGGGAGGGCTGGGCCTATTAGCAACCTTGGAAGGCAGATGCTATCTCACTTTATAATGGGGAGACTGAGGCTGGAGACAGAAGTATCTTAACTCAAGGCCTACCAGCCACTAAGTGGTGGAACCTGGCTTAGAACCCAGTCCACGTGATGCCATATGAGAAGAGGGAAAATGCAGACAAATTGTATCCCACTATCATCCTGGTCTCCCCGACTGCTGGCCATAAGCCCCATAAGGTGCCTGAGTGTGGAACAGTAAAAGGCACCCATGCTCCCCTTCCTCAAGACATTTTTCTACCATCTGCTAGAAGAGTTGATAAACACACAATTCTATAATGTCTACAATGGGAGTGGGGTCTTCATACTGTGGCACCCTAATTCAGTTCCCTGCCCCCTCCCCTTCTCAGAGATGATGTCATCAGATTGGTATGGATTCTTCTTGCCCTTTATATACATATTAATACATATTTATTTATCAACATGTAGAAAATGTGTCAATCAGTTTTATCTGGTCTTTAAAAATATAGCTGACATCACAGTGAATGGATCACTCAGGAACTTGCTGATTTCACTTCATCAGAGTGTTTGTGCTCCATCTTGCTGAGCCATACAGATCTAATATTTCCATTAAGTGGATCAGTGGCAGGACTCCAGGTGCCAAACCTCCACTCTGCTTGAACCAAGGGAGTCTGTTTTGTTCTCTACATATTTTATATCCTGAAGTATGGCACAAGGGGATTCCCAGGTGGCGCTAGTGGTAAAGCACTCGCCTGTCATGCAGAAGATGTAAGAAACATGGGTTGGGAAGATCCCCTGGAGGAGGGCATGGCAACCCACTCCAGTATTCTTGCCTGGAGAATCCCATGGACAGAGGAGCCTGGCAGGCTACAGTCCATAGGGTCACAAAGAGTCAGACACAACTGAAGTGACTTAGTGCACACACGCACAGCACATGGCACAAGATTTACTTGCACAAACATGGCGCCTGCCCTGCAGCGGGTAACCCAAGCCTCTGCTCTCCTATCCCCAAGACTCTGGGACCAGAGGTTTCTCCAGAGACCTAGATGTGGATGCATTGAGGAGGGGAAGAGGTGCTGTCCTCCCAATCCCCACACCTACCTGATGGTGACATCAGCCTGGAGTCCATACAGCTTCTGCTCTAGGGCCTTCCTGAAGGACATCAGCGTGTGCTCTGGGGCCAGCTGAGGGGGAAGGTGGTAGTGAGGGGAAAGCCAGGCTTTAGCTGGTGTGCCCCTCTCCAGCCAACAGAAGTCTTTCATGCTGGGAGGCCAGGTAGGCCTCGTTCTAATCCCCCTCCTTCAAGCAGTAGCTGTGGGGCCCTGGGCATCCACAGAGCTTCTCTGAAGCTCAGTTTCCTTATCTGTTACATCATGCCTGTCTCACAGAATTTTTTTTTTGGGGGGGCGGGGAGAGAGAAACAGGGCTGGTTAGTGTTGATGAATATAAACGTGGAGGTCAGAGGGCATTTTTACAGTCTTCTGGCTCTATATAGTCTTGGGCTGAGCTGAATGCCAAGTTTGCTCCTGTTTATACTTTGAGTCCGGGTGGAGATCCCCAAAGGACAGGAGAGGGTAGATAGCATGGCAAAGTTTCAGTGGGATGACCAGTTTCCTTATCTATACAGAAGTGAAAACACCATCTCTTAAAGCCCCAAGCATGTTGCTTGATATACAGTAAATGTTTAATAAATGACAGATGTTTCCCTACAGCATATACATCAGAAAATCCTAGTCTTAGTCCTGACTCTGTCCTTAACTAGCTCTGTGGCCTTCGGTACATCTCTTTATCCTATAGGCCTTGGTTTACCTATTTGCTCCGTGGGGGGTATAAGTACAGTGTTCTCTGAGGGTCCTTCCAGTTGAGGGAGTTGGGGTTCTCCGTTTCCCTCCCTAGTTGTTTAGTTTGATGATCTTGTCATACCCTTTTCTGCCACTAGGGGTCAGTACCATACCAAGGGTTGTCCTAGGACCGAGGGCAGTGTAGGATGGAGGACTGGGAAGACTTCTAGGAATGAAGATGGATGGAAAGTGCTCCCATGGCTCATCCCATTCCCACCAAAACATGCTCGTTCCCATCTTTTCTCCCTGTGGCTGTGCTGTTTCTCATTTCCCAGCACATAACACACTTCCCTCTTCTGGAAAGCAGCCTGGCGTGGCAAAGGCTTTGGAGCTGAGATGGAACAATTCTCCTTCCCAGTCACTGACCTGGGCCATCACTTCCACTTCTGGACCTCAGTTTCTTTACTGTAAAATGGGTTAATGTTATCAGCTCATAGATGAGGTAACAGATGTCAGCAGTCTCTGAAAGGTGTGTTTCTTTCTTCCCCTTTCTGCAGGGCAGAGGAGCCTTGGGAGAGGTGCTACCTTGTTTCCCAGTTAAGTGGACCGTGTAAGACCCCACAGAGGCATCTAAGGAGAGCTGTGGACTTGGTGGAGTTCCTACTCAATCACTTCCAAATGCCCTGGCACCAGGCCTCACACAAATGACCACTGGAGGGATACTGGCAGGCGGTAGACTGTGGGTAGACACAAAGAGCATAGCAGTGGCTATGGAGACTCTTGGGGGACAGAGGAAGTGTTTGGGTGGGGCCAAGTCTCTTTTCTGGAGGCTTTTTAAACTCAGGTCTCTCTAGGTTAGGTGCTGACTTCCTGGAGAAAGAGGGTTCCCACTGCCTCAGGCCGAAATGCAGATGGGGTGTATTGTCAGAAATGTGTGAGTGTGGGGTGGTCGTCACAGACTCGTGGTGGACCACTGTGCTTCAGAAGCTCAACTCTGGAGTCAGTCTGACCAAATACTACAGTATGCACACACACACACACACACACACACAGGTCCCCCCCGACAGGAATGACACCCAGATACCATCTCCAAGACAGGTATGAGCACTTGGGCTTACCACACATAGATGTGTGAACCTCCCCCAGGCTGCTGTATACAGGTGCAGACACTGATACTCATGCATTCACAGTGACACAAGAAAGAGTTGTGTCAAGACGCCTACACCAGCCCCTTACGGAGCGCTACTAGGATGCAACCAGCCAGATGCACCGTGGGGAAATTCTACAGGACAGATGACTCAGTTTCTCCAACAAATAAACATATGGGAAAAAAGGGAAGAAGATTATTATAGACTAAAAGATACTTATGGAGAAGGACACGGCAACCCACTCCAGTATTCTTGCTGGGAGAATCCCATGGACAGAGCAGCCTGATGGGCTATAGTCCATAGAGTCACACGACTGAAGCAACTTAGCACAAAAGATACTTAGCTCAGCTGGTAAAGAATCTGCCTGCAATGCAGAAAATCCCGGTTTGATTCCTGGGTTAGGAAGATTCCCTGGAGAAGGGAAAGACTACCCACTCCAGTATTCTGACCTGGAGAATTCCATGGACTGTACAGTCCATGGGGTCACAAAGAGTTGGACACGACTGTGCAACTTTCACTTCAATTTCAACTACAAAAAAAACATTTTAGAGACAATAAAGGAAAGCTGAGCAGTGATTCAGTATTAGATAGTATTAAGGAATGATCATGAGTTTGGTTAGGTGTAATAGTGGCATTGTGGTCATGGTTCCATTTTTAAAGTCTTTATGCATTAGAGATACATGCTGAAGTAAGTATGGGTAAAATGATACAGTGTCTGGGATTTGCTTTCAAATATTAAAGTGGGGAGAAGGGACAGGGGAAAGAAAAATCAGGGAAATGGATGAAACAAGAATGGCAAAATACTGGTAAGTGGTGAAGGTGGTATTGGATTCATTATACTATTCATTCCACTTCTGCTAAAAAAACAACCCACACGGGGCCATCTCACTCCTTCCCTTTGCCCCCTCCTTCCTGCCTCAGCACGCCCTCCAGAGCAGGTGGGATAGGTAATAAGGGCCATGGTACGAAGAACAGCTATAAGCTGGGGCCCTGCTTCCTGGAAGGTTGCGCTTCTAATTTATCCTTACAAAGCCAGCAGCAGGGAGGCTTGGAGGGGATCAGCAACCCCGAGACACACAGGCGGCATGCGGCAAAACTGGACCCCAAATCCAGATCCCTCTGATGGGAAACAATGGCCTTCCCATCTGGTTGCCTCCAGGTGCTGGGAGCAAGCAGCACAGGATGTGACGGGAGGACACCAGGCTCCAACTCAGGGGCACAGGTCTCAGCCTTATCTAGGAGATGGGCACAGTAATACCCCCATATGCAGGGCGTGTAGGACCTTCAGGGTGATTTTCAGCCCTGTCAGACTCGACACCTCCTTTCAGACAGCCTTCTTTGTGAGGCTCCCTTAACTACCCTGAAATTCAGTGAAACGGCGGACTTGCCAAAGACCCTCTCAACCAAGAAAAGCTCTCAAGAGCCCTCAAACGCCCTCTGGTGGTGAAGAGAGGTACTGCCTCTGTTAAGAACAGCGCTTCAAGGCTTCCATATGTCAGGAAACCCAACCTAAGGAAGCAGGAGGGCTCGCCCAAGGAAACAGAGAAGTATAACTCTTACTTTCTGTAAGCCAGACTGATGTCTAGGCACATCACACATGCTAACTGACTCCTGCTTTTCGTGGCCCTATGGTGCAGGCACTCCCATCATCCCGGGGTACTAGATGAGGAAAACAGATACAGTGAAGATGGAATTGGTCCTGACTCCCACAGCTGCCAAGGTGCCTGGAAGCCTGACTCTGGAGCATACTCACTCCTTTGAAGGGGAGGGCCTACTGTGGGATTGCAGGGGTGGCAGAGAAGGAGCAGGTGCTGACTTTGATGCCTTCCTCCCGTTTCACCCTGGTGCAAATGTTTTCCTTTAGCAGTGGGCCTGGGGCTGCACCCAGCTCTCCTGCCCACAGGAGAGAGAGCTGTTGCTTCATCCTGGCCCTGGGAGCCTGCTCCCCTCCCCACACCCAGAATCTCTCTCTTTCTCTCTTGGGCCTTCCTAAACCATAGCCTCACAGTGTCTTTCCAGGGCCCTCAGGATAAAAATGAAATTTTTTAAGCAAGATGCCTTCAGGCTCTTCAGGACTTGATCCCACCCAAACTCTCTAGTCTTTACACCAATCCTTTCCATATACCACCCCCCACCCCCACCACACACACATCATCACCAAGAAGGGCTAAAAATCGTTGCTATTATTATTATACCCATTTCCTTGCCAGCTCCTCCCTACCAGGAGAACAGGTTTTTGCCTGTCTCCCTCTGGAATGGTAGCTCTGCCCACCCCTCACCCAGTCTTCAGGGCCCACAAGTGGCACTCACCATGGGGGCCCCGCGGTGGCCAATGAGGGCAGGTTTGGGGCCGAGGTCCTTTTTCTCCATGATGCAGGGAGAGGAGATGGTGAGAGGGGCCAGGTAGAGGGCAAACACCACGGTGAAGAAGGTTCCGAGAATGGCTATCTGGGAGGCTGCAGACACGGGTGCAACTGTGAGCCCCAGGCAGCAGGGCAGGGCATGCCAGAGCCCTCCTCCCTCCACCGGTCTGGACCCTGACACTCTGAGGGGGTCCCTGCACCAAGAGGACCCCTCATTCTTGCTGCAAAAGTGAACCCGGCCTCTAACTCACACACAGATGTAGAGACACAGAAGAGGAAACATGCAAGGCTGAGGCTGTCACCTCTGTGCAAACTGCAGTCCACTCCGAACCAGGACTCGCCATGCTAAAACCAAGGGCCCCACCATATCCCCAGGCTGCCCAGGTACAGTCCAGGTAGGGGCAGGACAAGCTGGCCTTGGTACTTGGAGCACATGGGTGGGGGACAGGTCCTGCCCAGTCATACTTACAGGATCGCTCTGCACGGGCAAACTGTCCTGCCACGATCCAGGAGAGTGCTGTGACAGCCACCAGGGCCCCCACATGCAGGAACGGCGCTGTGCCCTTCGGAACAGGAAGGGACAAGAGAGACTGTCAGCTCCCAGCTGAGCTGAGGATGCTGGTCACCAGCATCCTCCCAGCCTATCTCTATCCGTGGGGCAGGCAGCTGTCTCTATTTTTCAGCGGAGGACACTGGGAGTCCAGAGACCCTGGGTGCTAGAATCCTCCCTGTCTCTGAGTTGTTCTGTGATGTGGACCCTTACCCCGCCTTCTAGACTTCAGTCTGGAGGAATGGGAGTGACCTAAAGGCGCTGTCTTGTTCTGAGGGTCCTGGGGAACCAGCCGGCGGGCCCCCACCCCGACTCACCTGCAGGGAGATGAGGAGCACCTCCCACTCGTCCTCCCACAGCTGGGCCACAGCCGACATGGCCACCACAGTGGCCACCAGGATGGCCACCAGCCCGATCTGTAGGGGGAGAGCCACCAGACAGTCAGGGGGCACCAGAGCCTGGACAGCCCAAGGGTCCCCCGTGTGTGGGGGAGGGAGAGAAGAGGTGCAGAGACAGAGGGAGGGGCCGAGTCATGGATGGGGAGAGTGGGGCGTGCGAGAGAGGCCGACCTAGCAGGGCAGAGGCAGGTAGGTGACAGTGAGAGACAGAGGCAGGAGGAGGCAGGCGGGCGGGCCTGGCAAACAAGGGACCGCGAGAGAAACAGGAGGCTGGAGAGAAGACGGGTGGCCTTGGCTGGGGACATGGCCCCAGGGCTCAGGGTGTGGGGAGGGAAGACACTCAGCAAACGGGGGCCTCCTGGTACCCAGCAGGTCCCATTCCAGGCCTTGCCCACCCTCCCAGCCATCTTTCATCCTGCGTGACAGGTGAAGAAATCAAGGCTCCCCTGGAGCTGGGGCAAAGGGTGACTTGCCCAGGTCACAGGGCAGAGGGCTGAGGAGCCGGGTCCCCTGCGGGAGCCTGACACCCAGTCCACCTTCCCTGCAGCCTTCAGGCGGGAGCAAGCAGAGGGGAGGCAGGGGGCGGCCCCATGCGCCCTGTCATCAAGGCGCGCTCTCAGTCCCAGCCTCCCGGCTTCCAGCTTCTAACGAGTTATGGGAGCTGCCCTCCCAGAGAAAGTAAGGAGCAGAGCTCTGATGGAACCTTTGTGGGACAGAAAGCTGTGGGGACAGACAGGATCTGACATGTATCCTGGTAACACAAGATGCTTCCCCACACTAAGCGATGCCTAGCATCTGGTTATTTAGCCCCCAGGGTCCCCGCCTTGGGCCCTGGGTCTACATCTCTGCACCGCCAGGCTGGTCTCGCAAAACTCAGGTCATGCCTTCACCCTGAAACCTTCCACAGCCCCCAGCTCCATGAGGCGCCAGCCAGGACCACGACCTCCAGCCCTCCTGACTCCCTACTGCCTGCTCCCAGCGGTTCTCTGTGCCAGCAGGGCTCTCGCCCTCTCTCTCTCCCTTCAGTGCCTTTTCCAGCGGCCGCAGCAGCATTCCCAGAGCCCTCCAACAACCAAACAGGCTCTAAATTGAGTTTCTGGCTCATGAGAGCAGAGACGGCAGCTGATCCATCTTCGTTCCCTGCCAGGCAGGGAAGATTCATTCTTGTCTGGGATTAAGGTTTCCTTTGGAGGTTTGTCGTTCTGGCTCATCAGCCTGGAAACAAATGTTCTAATAAGAACCAGTAATAAGGCTGAAATGGGTAGGAACCCTTATGGACTGTGACAGGCCGGCCCAGAAGACATGGGAATAAGAGATATGAAGGTGCATGGAGGGCCCAAGTGTGCCCTGGGTCTGTGGGAGGCCCCTTCACTTTTTCCTCATGTTTATCCTTGTGAAAGCCCAGTCAAGATGTTATCGTCTTCATTTTACACATAGGAAAACGGGGCTCAGAGAGCATAAAGGTTTGCTTGGACATGTAGCTTTGAGCGGGCAGAGTCAGAAGCAACCCGCATTTTGCCTGTCTTGGCGGTCAGGCTCTTTCTGGGGATCTGCCCTCACAGTGCAGTGGAGGGAGCCCCAGGGAGCATCCTCTCGACCTCCCACCCCAACATGCAGGCTCCCTGCCCCCAGCTTCAGGGCACAGCAAGCATCTCTGGAGGGTCACTCCCTGAGTGTGTTTTATTACAGTAGTTAACTGCTAGTGGAAATACTTGTAATAAAACTGATTTCCCAGGATCGTAACGCAATGAAAAATTTTATCCTCTCTGAACTTGGCAGTTGCCATAGTGGCAACCATTATGCTCCGCAGCATTACGGCAGTGGTCAGCGCCTGTGGGATTTCGCCACACATACTGTGTCCTGAAGCCACAGGAACAGTGCTGACTCCCGACAACTAGACTGCCGTTCCTCAAGTCTGACTGCAAAGGATACATCCCACCCAGAAAGTGGGGAAAGCAGGAGAAGCTTTGGAGAAAGTGGTCTTTGGTTTTCCGTGCTGGAGGCACTGCGGTTCGTGATGACAGCTGGAGGGATGAAGGATACAGGAGGTACGTCCGTTCATTCACTGAGCCCTGCCTGGGTGCTGGGACCCAGGAGGAGTTGGAAACCAGCCTTGCCAACACATTGACCTCCTGGGAAGGTGATTAGAATCTGGCTTCTGTGTGGTTTAAGTCACAGATGGTCGGCCCAGGGTTCAGGGACCCACTCATGTCACATTCCTTGGTGACTGTGCCTAATGGGGGTGGTTACCCTCTCAGAGTGTGTTCCTGAGCTGTAGAGATGGGGAGCGTGAGCACCTACCTGAAAGGGGTTTGGAAAGATAAATGAGAACATGCGAGTTAAATGCTTAGCACCATGGCTGGCAGCAAAATAATCAGTGCTTACTAAATGTTGTGTTAGTCGCTCAGACATGTCCTACTCTTGTTAGTAACACAATTTTTTAAAAGTGGGCATGTTTTTCCCTGGGGGTGCAGGGGTAAGGAATATGCCCGTTAATGTAGGAGATGCAGAGTTGTGAGTTCAATCCCTGGGTCGGGAAGATCCCTTGGAGAAGGAAATGGAAACCTACTCCATTATTCATGTCTGGGAAATCCCATGGACAGAGGAGCCTAGAGGGCTATAGTCCATGGGGTTGCAAAGAGTCGGACACAAGTTAGCACCTAAACAACAGCGGCAGCATCAAAAGGAATGGAATAATGCCATTTGCAGCAACACAGATGGACCTAGAGATCATCAAACTGAGTGGAGTAAGTCAGACAAAGACACATTTCATATGATACCACTTATATGTGGGATCTAAAAAAAAAAATGGTGCAAATGAGCTTATTTACAAAATGGAAACAGAGTCACAGTAAGTGACTTATGGTTACTTTACCACAGTAAACTTATGGTTACCAAGGGGGAAAGGGATGGGAGGAATACATTGGGAGATTGCGAGATATATATATATATACTAAATATAAAATAGGTAACTAATAAGAACCTACTGTATAGCACAGGAAACTATACTCAATATTCTATAATGACCTATGTGGGAAACAATCCAAAAGGAGTGGACATATGTCTAACTGAATCACTTGGCTGTACATCTGAAACTAACACAACATTGCAAATCAACTAAACAAAACCACACCGAGGTACCATTTCCACCCACCGGGAACGGCCAAGTCAGGAGACCCCTGAACACTCTGCGGGCAAGGGTGACTTCACAGGCACAGCCATGTATTCTTGCTTGTGCGCGCTCAGTCGTGTCCGATTCTTTGTAGCCTGCCAGGCTCCTCTGTCCATGAGATTTCTCAGGCAAGAATAGTTGAGGGGGTTGCCATTCCCGCCCCCAGGGGATCTTCCCGCCCCCAGGGGATCTTCCTGACCCGGGGATCGAACCTGCATCTCCTGCATTGCAGGTGGATTGTTTTACTGCTGAATTACCAGGGAAGCCCATACATAAACTATACTGCAATTAAAAAACAAATACTACCAAAAAAAAAAAGTTAAGATGCAAAATGAGGGTATAATAGGCTACCACTTGTGTTTAAAGAAAAAGGAATGTGTATGTATGTGTGTGTACATACACACATCTGCATGTGCTTAAATATCTCTGGAAAGATAATGCGGAGATTTACATTTTGTACTTCTTTGTACCTTTGTAATGTTGAACTGTGTCAATGTATTAATGATCAAAAGTTAGGTAAAACAGCTCCTCCCCAAATAAGAATTACTTAAAATCTTAGAATAAAACTATAGAGTCTTACAAACAGAGGGGTAGAATTTCCAGCCCCTACTAGACTACTGAGCCCCAGGGAGCTCCTTCCCTCCTGGTGCAGTGGATCCAGCTAAGCATCAGCTGGAAGGACCTTCCTCATGCTGAGATCTCTTGGGAGGGATCAGAGGGGAGAGGAAGGCAGGACTGGCACCCCGGGAGCTGGCACCAGTGCAGATGAAGGGATCTGAGACCCTGCCCCCAGGAGAAGACTCCCTGCGCTGCTCTGCTGCCCTGGCTGGCTTGAGCCTCCAGATGCCTCTCTGCTGGGATCAAGCAGGTATGCCCTGGCCTGCTGAGAGCCAGGCATGCTCCAGAGGAGGGGGCTGCGGTGTGCACCAGCCCCTCCTGGGGTGCCCGCAGGTGTCATCCTTTCAAGTGTCAGCTTTGCAGCTGGGAAAAGAAAGTCCCTCACAGAGAAGACTTCAGAAGCACAGAGGAGATCTTAGGAAAGAGTGATGAGCAAGAGGAAGGTGGGAGGGGACCAGAGGCGGCTCACTGCTCTTTATCCCTCCAGGACTTTAGTCACCTGGGTCTGACTCCCCAGCTCCAGACCTTGGAGGCATGCCTGGATGTCCACAGGCACCTCCTACTCCATGCAGCCCAAGTGGAGCTCACCACATCCTTCTTCCAGTTCCCATTCTGTATCCTTTTAGGTGGAAGTGAGCCCCTCCCCTCAGAGTCACTCTGGACCCATCTCACGGGCTCATGATTATTCCTGGACATTTCTGCCTCTTCCTGAATGGCCAGCCCACGGAGTCAGGCTCTGGGGAAAGAGAGGTGACCTGGCCCTCTCTCTGGGGCCCTGGTGTGCTCCTGGGAGGGAGGGCCTCTCTCTGGGTCAGCTCTGTGCCACTCCTGAGCCCATTGGGGTCTCAGAAAGAGCAGGAGGCATCAGCCACGTGCATTCCACACGATGTGTGCCATGAACAGTGAGCCAGAGAGTCAAGGCTCTGGAATGTATGATGCCTCTTTGCTTTGGGTCCAGCCCTGCGTGGGCACTGGGGACATGGAGATGGAAAGTCAGTTCTGGTCTCTGCACGGAGCTCCTAGACTAGGGAGGGTCGGGGTCAGGGAGCCAGATGGAAATGGACAATGAGAGGTCAGGACTGTGGCCGGGGAGCCTTAGGGGACTGGGGGAGCCTGAGAAGCTTTGTGTAGGTGGAAGGAAAACCAAGGAAGGGTCCAAAAGAGAGAGAAAGGGAGGCAGGAGTGAAAACATAAAGCAGAGAAGAGGCAGCCATGCTGGGAGGGCCTGAGATGTCTCATGTGGCAGAAGCCGAGGGTGACGGTCCCATTACAGCAGTTGGGAGAGATCAGCAAGGGGCCAACCTGCTCAGGGCCTTAATGTCTGGAGGGAGAGCTTGGGTCATCCTGGGAGCAATGGAAGCTGTGGGAAGGGCTTTAAACTGGGAGTCATATCACTGGAATCAGAGTTTTAAGATGAGCTCATGGAAGAGAAAGAGAGGATGAGACTGAAGTCAGAGCCAGTCAAAGAGCTGGAGCTGTGACCTATGCTCGTTAACCGCATGGCTGTAGATCTAGGAGCCTGGACCCTCTACTTATTAAGTTGGAAACCTTGGGCAAGTTACTTAACCTCTTTGTACCTCAGTTTTCCCAGCTGCAAAATGGGATGATAACAGCACTTATGCTGCAGGGCTGCTGAGGGGTAAATGAGTAAATACAATCCACTGTTAGCTCCTAGAACAATGATAACCATGATCCAGGGGAGGGAAGATGTGTCCGGGCTCTTCCTCTGTTGCTGTGGCCTCCAGCCTCTCCCCTCCTCCCTGAGCCCCTGTGGAGGCACTCCTTACCTTGTGCAGCCAGTGCAGGTTCATCTGTTGCCCCACGGCGATGTGACATAGTGCCAGGACCTGAGGGAGGGCCCACATGGCAAGAGTCAGGCTTCACGTGTGACCTAGGTTTCTGCCAGTTCCCCAGACACCCTGCTCCCCATGGCTCTCTGGGCCTGGCTCAAGCAGTCAGCTAACCAGCAAACCATTCTCATGCCCAGCCCTGCTCAGCCCCACCCAAGACTGGCCTCCTCCCAGATTATTTCAGGTTCCTCCAGGTTCCTTCTCCTCTAGAGTTTTTCCCTCAAGAACTCATTGGGCCCTGCTGCACTTGGGCTACCTAATTCATGTTTTGGGAGTTCCAGGACCCAGGATTCTGAAACAGACTTGAGCCGGTCCCCCAGGAAGCGTGGAGAGTTGCTCTGATGCTCACTCACTAGGGTAAAGAATCTGCTTGCAATTCAGGAGACCTGGGTTTGACCCCTGGGTCAGAAAGATGCCCTGAAGAAAGGAATGGCAATCCACTCCCGTATTCTTGCCTGGAAAAATTCCATGAACAAATAAGAGTGGCGGGCTACAGTTCATGGGGTCACAAAGAGTTGGACACGACTGAGCAGGTAACACACACCAGGAGCTCCCAGGCCAGCCTGGGGACTGAGTTGAGCCTGAGGGAGCAACATGTTGGAAGCAGGTACCAAAACAGAAGTTCTTGGAAGAGGAAGTCTGCAGTGGGGCCTAACAATGGGATGTCCTCACGGGGTTGGGGGAAAACATGCCAGAATGGGGCAAAGAAAGAGGACCTCCCACCTTGAAGGAACCAAGCCCTGGAGGCCCAGAGAAAAGCCAGCCATCCTCCTCAGACCAGGGTGGGGCCCTCCATCAGCCCCATGTACCTGGAGGCCAGCGATGTAAGTGAAGGCAGCTGCTGTGGTCATGAGGATGGGCACGGACCAGTCACTCCAGTAGCCCATGCGGTTGTAGAGGTACCTGCCAGGAGGAGAAGGGGCATGGGTCAGACCTCCACCAGGGAGCCTGGATGGTCCCTGGGGCCTTCCAGCTCTCAGCTCTCACACGGCTTGCTCAGGTACTAGACTTTGGCCCTTCAGTGAGGAGGTCACTGCTTCCCTGGTCATCAGTCAGCCTGTGGAGGGCTCTTGGGGACACCTGGGCGTGGCAAGAAGCATAAACAAGAAAACAATTTCCCTTAATTCTACTGCCCAGAAGTAACCATCACCAAAACTCTGCTGGCTTCTTCCAGTGGGTGCCCCCCTCTGCTTATATATTTGTGTAAACAGCAAAGCCGGGACCCCGCTGCATATAGCACAGGGTCAGAGTTCAGGCTTTGGAGGGAGGAACTAGCAGATTCAAATCCCCCAGCTTGCAGGACGCTGGGGAAGTGACAGGCTTCCCTGACTCTAAGATGCCATTGATTGTGACATTCATCTCAATTTCAATGTCATCTCAATGATTTTTGAAAAGATGAAGTCTTAGGGTCGATAACATGTAATACCTGACTTCCCCACACTGTTCCTCATCTATAGGATAGAATAACAAAGTGCCCTTCCTAGGGTTTCCTGAGGATGAAGTTTATGTGAGGAACAAGGTAAGTACTCAACTCTCTGCTTCTTATTAACATAAGCATTTACTGATGTCAGTAAAAGCCTGAGGAAATGTGATTTTTCTCATAGTCACTCGGTCTTCTGTTGAACTAATGTACTGTATGAAGCCAACTTCCTACTAATGACAGTTAATAGTTTCCAATTATTCACTATTATAAATTAACACAAAAACTCTTTGGCACATACGTTTATGCATTACTAATTATTTCGTCAGGAGAGACTCCTACAGATGGAATCACAGGACCAAAGGGAATGAGCTGTTTTTAGGGCTCCTGTTAGAGCCTGATAAGTTGTTCTCCAGAAAGACTGAACCACCCACACCCTCCCTGTACAAGTGGGGAAACTGAGGCTCAGAGAAGGCAGCAAGCAACGTGAGTCATCAGAGAAAATGAGCCGGCACCAGGCAGCTTCAGGCCTGCTACCCTCTTGGGGCTGGGAGGACTGCAGGAGGACACCGTGGGGTGGGTACCTGCTCTCACCCTTGGAATTCCAGGGCAAGATTTACTCAAGGCGAAACTGAGGCCCAACAAAAGGCAGCCCCTAGCCCTGGTAACTACTCCTGCAAAGCATCCGGCTCCACGTGCCTCTCCCTTTTGGGAGGGAGCCCCTCCCAACTCCCAGCTGACAGTAAGAGCCCAGCCAGTCCATCCCTGGCTTTCCCCATTCAGCCCGGGCCACCCATGCCTTGCTCGCCTCTTCTTACAACAAGAGCTATCCCTGGAGGCTCTCTGTATTCTGAGGACCAGGCCAGGGGCTCCTGAGTCCCAGCACGACTCCAGGAAACCGAGGAGACTGGCTGAGGGAGCTACAGGTCCCCAGACCCTCCCCGAGCACAGGCAGGCCCTCCCTCTGCAGCCTCCCCAACACGGCAGCATCTGTCCTCTGCTTGAGCTGCCCAGCGATGGGGAGCTCAGTCTCTGGGCAAAGCGGGGTGGCCCCGTGGACCACATGATACAGTCAGGCAGTTTAAGTCCCTGCCCCAGATCTGACTGCATCCTGCTGTGTGACTCCAGAAAGGCTACTTAACCTCTCTGAGCCCCAGTCTCCGGGACTGTCCTAATATGTGCACGTGGCACTAGCTGGTTGTATGGCCACAGGGCAGTCCTATCCCTCTCTGGGCCTCAGCTGCTCCTTCTGTAGGTGACAGCGTGGACCTCCACTAGGGCAGCAGACCTCAGCTCAGCAGAGCCATCCAAGGAGCTCAGGGAAGGGCCAGCAGGGAATGCTCCCACTTGCCCACAGCAGTGCCTATGCTTTGGATACCTGCAAGGATGAATAATTTATTTATGGCATTTAATAAAGGCCAGAGGCCACCTCTGGGACTTGGCTGGGGCTCCGGCTCATCTCACCGGGCTGTGGCGGGGCAGCAGCCTGTCCTTTATTGAGATCATTAATCACAGCACATAGCACAGCCTGGTGCCATGCAGAGGGGAGCGAATGCCAGACTCCATGAACTGAGTCTTAGGATCACTACAAAATCCTCGAACCACAGCCCATCAGAAGCCCAGAGTCCAGAAACAGTAAATTCTAACATCACGACCACCTTGCAGCTGGAGATTCAGCCTCCCAGGAAGTGTTCTCGGGTTTAGGGGAGCCTGGAGCCCTCGCACATCCATCATCTCGTTTTGTCCTCAGAAAGGCCTGCTATCGGCTAGCGCTCTGCTATCCCATTTTACAGAAGAGGACACCAAGCCTGAGAGAGGACCCACGCTCCTGTGCCCATGGTCACACCGAGCTGAACTTCTAGTCAAGAGGAAAAGGCAGCACCGGAGGGGCAGGGAACACTGGCTGCCAAGCCCCAACTCTGCCCCCAGCTGGTTGTCTGGACTTGGGCCTCAGTTTCCACGCCTGTCAATGGGCAAGTTCCTACTAGAGCCAGGGGAACTTCTCCTGTTCCGTGCCTTCCACTGTTTGACAAAGGCAGGCCATGGGGGAGCGAGGGCAGGGGGTGAAGAAGAAATAGGTGCCCTTGTGCACCCAGCCCCAGACATGTCCGTGGGCCTGGGGCTGCTGCCCACAAGGGACCCTGAGCTTTCCCAGAACCACACCATCTGCCAGCCTGGCCCACAGCCCTGCTCAAGGAGGCAGGAGGCCTGGGGTCGGGGACCACCTCCTCTGCTGAGGTCTTGGTTTTTTTGGGCTTTGGAGTCCTTGTCCACAAGGGGTCCAGAGGTCCCAGCTCCCAGCCAAGCCCCTGCCCTGTCTTACATTCCTATTTCCATGATAGCAGCAGCAGGAAGGAGTTCCCTGTTCTCTCCAGCTGGTCTCAGCTCCCCTAAGCCGCTGTTCTCTCTAGAGGATTACGCCCTCAAAGGCTACACAGAGAGCTGGTGGCCAGTGGTGGCCGGACCCTGAGGACCAGCCCGGGAGAGAGGTTCCAACCCATCCCTCACCCCCGACCCCAGTGTCAGCCACCAGATGCCCAGTCCCCAGGCCCCGCCCCCTGGTCCCCACTCACCAGTTGAATTCATCGTAGTCATTGTGGACTTCCCACCAGAAGTAGAGCCAGGTGAGCGTGAGGCCGAAGGTGAAGGTCAGCAGCAGGAACCAGAGGCGCTCCCACTGGAGGGGCAGAGCGAGGACAGGGGTCAGTGGGGGCGAGGCTGGCCCCTCGGGCCACCCTCCCCCTTGGTAGCCCAACCGCCAGGCTGGGTGCACAAGGGCACCTATTTCTTCTTCACCCCCTGCCCTAGCTCCCCCACGGCCTGCCTTTGTCAAACAGTGGAAGGCACGGAGGAGGGGAAGTTCCCCCGGTTCTAGTAGGAACTTGCCCATTGACAGGTGTGGAAACTGAGGCCCAAGTTCAGACTACCAGTTGGGGGCAGAGTTGGGGCATGTTAGCCAGCACTCCCTGCCCCTCTTCACATGGGTGGGGACTCGAGGCTCAGAGAGGGGAATGAGCTGACCAACATCACCACACCCGGAGCCACAAAATGATGGGGAACCAGAGCAGGGTCGAGGGTCCACCCCAGAGCTGGGCCCCTAGTACTGCAGCCTCAGGCCCTTCCCGTGTGCGACCGTCTCCAGGACCAAAGGCTACGTCTGCCTGAGCCTTCACACTGGGAGGGTGATCCCGGGTCCGAGGGGTCACATTCCTCACCTCCTTCCCTCCTCACACACACCTGCAAGGCAGGTGTTCTTCCTCACCTCTGCCCCTGCTATACCCCGGCCCAGAGAGGTGAAGCAACTTGCTCGAGACACACAGCAAGTTAGAGAAGGATTAAAGAGCAGTGCCCCCAGCCTCAAGACTTGAAGGAATGTGGTGTTCTACCACCCCCACCAGGGGTTGGCCCCTCTCCCTCAAGGGGCCCGGGGGTGGGGGTGGGGGCAGTGTGTGTGTGGGGTGGATGGAGGGGGTCCTGCTGACACCGCCTCAGCTGCTTCCCCCAGAGGTCTGCAGGCACTTCCGGCTGGGCCCTTGGGTGTAGCCCTGCTTCCATCCGTCCCCTTATCTCAGAGGCAGAACAAGCTTGGTACATCCTGCTCTCTGGGAAACGGCTGAGATCATGAGCACAAGCAACCGCTCAGAGGGGAAGTCAGCGGAGGAGAGACCCAAGACCACTCCCCACCGTGAGAGGCTGGAGGGCTTGGAGAAGCTCAGCGTCTCTCAGCCAGCCACTATCCGGGCCCCCTGCAGCTTTCCTGGCATCTCTGATCCTTCTTGCACCGCACAACCAGCTTGGAGCTACAGTTTTAAGCCCGGTTTAACCTCTCGATGTCTCTGTCTAGAAAGCAAGCCCTCTCGGGTCCACCGGACAACCCTCTTCCTCCTCCTCAAGGCCTTCCCCATCCCAGCAGGGATTCTGTCTCCTCAGAGCTTCTATAACTGTGGCACCCCCGTTAGTTATGACACAACACCTGCAGTTCTAGAACTGTCCCACTGTATGTCAGTAACTCCCTCCAACCCCCGCTATACTGTAACCACCTTGGAAGTCTGGGTGGTCTTCATATTCCCAGGGTGAGAGGCAACTTAAGATAGATTTGATAGTGAGATGGCAGATGAGAAAAGACCCTTTCTCCACACCGGCATGAGTATGCCCACCCAGGAGAGATTTCACTCTGGGTTTACCAACTTACTACTCCCTCCAAAGAGGAGCCCTTGCTTTTCTGTGAATGCCGAGCCAGCAGTAGTGAGCGGCCCTCTGTCCAGAGATCACTCTCCCTCAGTAGGTATGAGGCCTCTGGCCAGAGGACAAGGTTCTGATGAGGGCCTGGGTGAGGGGGGAGCCTCAGCCGATGATGAGTCCTGTCCCAGGCCAGCAGCATGGAGGTCAGTAGGTGGCAGGAGCAGAGGAATAGTTTCAGGGACAGTGACCGGGAGAGACTGGCCACAGGTGCCAGCAGGGGATGTCCTTGGTGACATATGACGCAGGACCTAGGGGCAATTCTGACAGGTGGTCAGGAAGACTGTGGGTGTCAGGAGGGCCCACAGCAGACAGGGGTCCTGGGTACTAAGGGTCACTGTTCTCACTGGGCTGGATCCCGACAATGGGGCAATAAGGATGGGGCAAGAATGAGGGGCTGCCCCTCCCTACCCCTGGAAACGCACAATGAAGCACTAGGAATATCGGAACCAGGCATGAGCTGGGCTTGGGGGCCACCCAAGGTTGACAGTACTGGGAGCTGAAAGCCAGAGGTCCTATGGCCACAGGGAGCCTGCAGATGGGGGTGAAGTGGCTCTGCCCACAGCAGGTCACTCAGAACAATCAGAGGAAAAAACTGAATGGCAGGGGCTGGAAGAAAGGGGAGGGAAGGCCAGGAGCTGGGGGAGGAAGTAGCCTAGGGAGAAGTTCCACTGACAGAGAGGCTCCAGCCGCAGGACTGGTCCTTGTCTGGGCAGGTTATAGGGGAGGGGCCTGAGCCAGCCCTGCCTCCTGACAAGCCAGCCTGGCTCTGCTCCAGGGAGGGTGCAGCCACTGGCCCTCCATCCCCTCCCACTGTCTGCACAATGCCCGGGTATTTATCCCCATCTCAGAGCAAACAAAGATCCCAAGTCTCGGAGAAGGGCAGCCACACATACGGGCTGAGCAAGTTGTAGACCCCTAGCACTAAGAGGCGCCACTCACATCATGGTCACATCATTGACGTGCATGTTTGTCATGACAAAATTTTCCACAGGTAATGGTCAAAAGCCCTGCGGAAGGAGCACCCTTTGCTTATTTGCACAGAGGCTCAAAGTGGGTAAGTGGTGGTGAGTCAGAGGTTGAGCAACATATACAAGGTGACCAAGTAGAGGGGGAGTGGAGGTAGGAGGCAACCCTCTGCAGCTCCCTTGGGAACCAGCCCTACATAGCTCTCCCCGAAACCCACCTTTGCCCTCTGGGACACAAGTGTGACGATCCCAAACCCAGCTCAGCTCCCTGAGATTCCCTTCTCCTCTCTTGCTGGGGCCCATCTCCTAGGCCAAGCCTTCTTCTCCTTCAGGAAATCCTCCCATCCCTGCAGCCCCCAAGACCTCCCTTTCTTTTCCCTTTTTCTTTTTGGTCCCGCTGCATGGCACGTGGGATCTTAGTTCCCTGACCAGGGATCGAACCCATGACCCCTGTATTAGCAGTGTACAATCTTAACCACTGGACCACTGGGGAAGTCCCAGGATCTCCCTTTCTTCACTGCTTCTGCACAGACTCTTGGTACCCACCAACTTGACCTGGAAAGAAGCCAGGCTCAAGAGGGAGACAGACCTGCCTCTGCCACTTGGGCAAGTTACCACTGAGCCTTGGCTTCCTCCCCTGTAAAAAGGGAATAACATCCGTACTCTGGAGGGTTGATGTTAAATGAAGTGATGTACATCGAGCAGTACGCAGTAGGTGCATAATAAGGGGCAGCTAGTTCACTGGGCTGTGGACTCCTTCCGGGCAGGGATGGCTGAGGTATCTGTGCACCCTGGCCCACGGCCCTTGGAGCACAGTGGTGCTCAGACATGGTGTGAGGAGCAGAAGGTGTGGACATGGTGGGGATGCAGGGAGGCCTCAGGGCCACCAGAGAACAAGGACATCATCCAACTCTGGGTTTATCCTTAGGCGAAGCCTGGGGGCCCCTGGGAACCAAGGGAAGGAGCTCCCATTGTGACACCCCAGCCCCTACCCTTCCGAGTCTAGCAGCTGCCTGAGAGCAGGACAAAGGTCAGGCGATTCCTGACAGGCTACAGAGGCGCAGGGAAGTGACTGAGAGCAGCCGGGGAAGGGGATGGGTGAGCTCTGGCTGTGGACGGGCAGGCAGCTCCCCCCCATGAACAGGGGTGGCTGTGGGGGAGAATCCCAGGGGCCCCGGCCCCGTCCTGTCTCCTCCACTCTTGGCCCCACCCTCCCTCCGTCCCACACCTGGGAGCAGTGCACCAATTTTCCTGCTGGTTGTCACGTCTTCTCCTCATCCCTCTTATCTCTGTCCCGCCTGCAGCCTTCTGCATTCAGAGGAGATCGTGCATGCGGAAACAGCTTATTAGCAGCTGGGCTCACAGGGTCACACAGCGCTGCAGCCACAGACCCCAGCCCATGGAGGACGTGTGAGCACAGGCCATGCTGCTGCCGTGTGCTGCCCAGCCCAGACTGTGCCCTGGGCCAGAACACACACAGACACTGCTGTGGGTGCACCCCTGGGGTCCCCTAGGGTCTGGGGTACCTCCAAATAGAACCTGGAGCCTGAAATCTGCATCAGGATGGCACCTGAGTGGGAGCTGCCTCCCTGCCCTTGGTACCACCATGGACTTCAGACTCACACTCGGAGGCGGAGCTGTCTGGCAGGACTCCTACTCCCTGTGTGTCCCTCAGGACAGAGACTGGTCTGTGGCCCCCGGGCAGGCGCGCCCCTGCTTTGGCTCCCACAGCTCCAGGGACAGAGTTGGAGTTCCTGCCTGCATGCTGCGTGGCCCTCCTCTGGGCTGGGAGTTCTTCCTTCGGAGACAGCGGCCAGACAGGGGCAGGGCAGGGTCCTGTAACACCGGGTGAGCGTCCCAGACAGGCTGCCTACTAAATGGTGACCTTGGAGAAGACACTGCTTTATCTTCCCCGAGCACCGACCTCCTGTTCTGTAAAATGGGGCTGGCAGTGTTGGGCAGAAGTGCCTGGTGATGGCAGGGTGTCAGGAGTTGCTTTTCTTGCCTCCATCCCTCCTGAAGTCTGCTTCTCGGCTGCTGCCCTGCTGCCGGTTCTCTGATACCACCCAGAACAAGTCCAGCCAAAGGGCAGGAACACTGGGGTCAAATGACCAGGGCACGGGGCAATATAATCAAGAGCTGGGTTTTCATTCCCCGCCCTCCTACTGCTAGCTGTGTGGCCGTGGGCCAATCACTCAGAACCTCACTCAATCCCCAGCTTCCTCCTCTATTCCTGAAGATGACATCACCTCTACCTCATGGGAGGGCTGCCAGGCCCTGAATGTAACTACAGATGTAAGCTGTAAGTCGCCAAATCCACGATCATTCCTATAATTATCATTTCGTGTCTGACAGCCCTTTAATTATGTGAAGACAGTGATCAAGTCTTCCCCGCCCCCTGCTCTACATCAAATTTCCCCAGCTGCTGAGGAGAGCCAAGCAGATCGCCCCTTCCCAGCCCAGGGCAGGT